TTTCTATCTATCAGCTGGGAGTCTTAGCCTGGATCCAGCCCTCTGCGTTTAAACGACTTTGAACAGTTGAGAAGGGGTGGGGGGCACGTCAGAGGCTGAGTACATTTCACGGCCGATAAGGCGCTGGCTAAGAGCGGCACTTGGTTAATGCTGCTAAAATCAGATATTAAAAGGTCATTTTCAAAGTGCTCTGCCTCTTCAGACGCTTCCTGCCCTCTGTTCGAAACGTGCCTGTTTTCTCCGATTGCCGGAGGCGCTCTTAAAATCCACTCAAGTACGAAGCAGCCCTTATCACGGGCGTAGTCCTTGGCCGGAAAAGTCGAACCTTTCCCCCTTCTCTTTTGTCTGCGGCGTATTAGATCTTAAGGACATTAAAAAAAATAAATAAATCTCTGACACTACTTTGCAGGCTATGCAATTAACCTGCGCCCTCTATTTCCTTCACTTCAGCCCTCGCCCGACAGTGGTTTGGGAGCTTCGATTCACTTCCTCTTGTCCCTTAAACTTTTGCCGTCATCTCAAATTTACGATTTGTCCTCCGTCCCACTAGTCACTGACAACGGGCAGCACGCCTCTTGCGGCGTTCAGAAGTCAAGGAAGAAGCATAATGAGAAACCGTCTGCCAACTGCATGTATTAATAGATCTTAGCCCCGTGTATTTTGATAACCCACCTCATAATTTCCCGTCTTGTACTTCTTGGGTTGGATTCAAAAGTAACGTTCCGCTATTATAAACGGCCCTTCTGTTGCCTGGGGTGTGTGTGTGTAATTCTGGCTAATTTCCCTCCTCCCATTGCAGACCCCCGTTTTGCCCCTCGCTCTGTTTGCAAGGTAGATCCAGGTGGGGCCGGCCGTGTTGGTCCGAAGCAGCGGAACGAAGTTTGAGTCCAGTGGCACCGTTGAGACCCACAAAGTTTTATTCTGGGCATAAGCTTTTTTGCTTATGCACGCTTCTGGAGATACGACTCTGAAGAAGTCTGTGCGCACGCAAAAGCTTATACCCGGAATAAAAGGTGCCACTGGACTCAAACTCTGTTTGCAAGGGTCCCCTTACCCCTCCCCAGGGGCAACATTTCAAGAGTGAGGGCACAGAAGGCTGTAGATGGGGAGGGGGAAATAGGAAATCCGTTCCATGAGCTTTGTGATACTTTAAGAAGAAGAAGAGATTGGATTTATACCCCACCCTTCACTACCCAAAGGAGTCTCAGAGCGGCTTACAAACTCCTTTCCCTTCCCCACCCCACAACAGACAGACACCCTGTGAGGTAGGTGGGGCTGAGAGAGCTCTGACAGAAACTGCTCTTTTTCAAGAACAGCTCTTATCAGAACAATGGCTTGCCGAAGGTCATCCAGCAGGTGCAAGTGGAGGAGTGCGGAATCAAACCTGGTTCTCCCAGATTAGAGTCCGCGTACTTAACCACTACATCACTACACCAAACTGGCTCCAACACTGTAGCGATAATGGTTTCCTTTTTTCCCTCTGAAAGAGTTCTATGTGGGTGTTGGCTTCCCGAGTTCACTCTGGATTTAAGGGCGGGAAGAGGTGTTTGGTTCACATGAATGGCTCATTCATGTTTGGTGGGCTTCCGATAGCAACTGCACACCATTCAGAAATTCAATTCAAGCTTGCACATATTTTGGACTGTTAGAATTCTGTGCTATAAATCCAGGTCCTGCAGTTGGAATAAGAGATCGTACATTTCCATGGGTTTTACCATTCCCTGCACCTTGATTTGTCGTATCCTGGATAGCAGGAGCTCAGGGCTTGGATTCTCAGGCTGAGGCTTAACTAAAGTGCATCTGAACTTTTTATACCTTGGTTCCTGTTCTGGTTCATACACACACACACACATACACACACACACACACACACGAAGCTGCCTTATATTGAATCAGGCCGTTGGCCCATCCAGTATTGTCTATTCAGACTGGCAGTGGCTCTCCAGGGTCTCAGGCAGAGATTTTTCACATCACCTATTGCCTGGTCCTTGACTGGAGATGGTGGGGATTGAACCTGGGACCTTCTGCATGCCAAGCAGAGGCTCTTCCACTGAGCCACGGCTCCTTCCCGCTTCAGTTCCGGCAACTGAGAGTAGAGATGCTGGATTGGAAGTCACCCTAGCCCGATGTATCTGAAAAGAGCAAGAGTCTAGTGACACCTTAAAGACGATCAAGATTTGTGGCCTGGTATGAGCTTTCGTGAGTCACTGCTCACCTCCTCAGGTACCATCGGAAGAATCTGACGAAGTGAGCAGTGACTCACAAAACTTTAGTCTTTAAGGTGCTGCTGGACTCTTGCTGTTTTCCACTCCTACAGACTAACACGGCTACCCATCTTGATGTACCTGAGCGTGTCTGCCCAAATGCTGGCCATACCTTGATCCATGGCTTGCTTTGGGGAAATGGACCTTTTTGTTGCATGCTTCGTAAGTTGCGCGACATTCGCATGATGTTGCTTCCATCTCCCCCCGTCCAGCCCAGCCTTTTAATAAACACCAAGCTCCATTTCCTGGTGTTTTTTGCGACATACCTATTGAAATCAGCCACACCACCGTTATTTTGATGAGGGTTGTGGCCCGGGAGTTGTACTGGCTGGCTTGGATTGGCTTTTTTATGGCAATGTAGCGGTCCAGCGAGATGGCGCAGAGGTGCATGATGGAAGCCGTGGAGAAGAGGACATCGAGGAACAGCCAGACGGGGCACAGGTCCCTTGGAAGAGGCCACGCAATCTCTGAAAGACAGAAAAGGGGTCAATATCTTTGTTCTTTGTCCAGTCCAACATTCTGTGTCACACAGTGCCCAAAACCCAGGTGCCATCAGGAGGTCCACCAGCAGGGCCAGAACTCCAAAAGCCCTCCCACTGTTGGCCCCCAAGCACCAAGAATACAGAGCATCACTGCCCCAGACATAAGAACACAGGAGAAGCTATGTTGGATCAGGCCAGTGGCCCATCCAGTCCAACACGGTCAATATCTTTGTTCTTTGTCCAGTCCAACACTCTGTGTCACACAGTGGCCAAAACCCAGGTGCCATCAGGAGGTCCACCAGTGGGGCCAGAACTTGCTGAATGTTCTTCTTAGGAGGCCTTCATTGTTTGTTCAATGAAGCTATATTTCAATGGTGTTTTCAGTGAAAAATTAGTACAGGTAGTTACAAAAAGTGCCCATGGCGGTTGCTATCTTAGAAGAGGTGTCCACACCTGAAGCTGCCTTCTACTGAATCAGACCCTCGGTCCATCAAGGTCAGTATTGTCTACTCTAACCAGCAGCAGCTCTGCAGGGTCTCAGGTGGAGGCCTTTCAGATCACCCACTGCCTGATCCTTTCAGCTGGAGATGCCGGGGACTGAACCTGGGACCTTCTGCACGCCAAGCTGATGCTGTATACCACTGTTGTCAACCACCCATGTACAGCCTTCCGGGGAGCTGCCTGACTGAATGAGGATTCGAACCCATTTCCCCATAATCCTGGTCAAGCGGCTTCACCATGCCCACTTACAACCATTTAAGGAAATTGCAGAGTGCAGGGGTTTGGACTAGATGACCTGCAAGGTCCCTTCCAACTCTAACATTCTATGATTCTATGGAATTGATGAAAAATGTAAACTATATGAAACTTAACATCAAATAAAGTTCCACAGTATTACAATTCCTAAGCAACTCATATTATTTCAGTATGCTATTCCGGCCAATACAATACAATAGTTACACAGACAAGAACTTGAAGGGAAGAATGCATCGCCAAGTGTGGCTTCAGTGTTCAGGGGTGGAAAAAGTCTTCTCAGTTGCAAACTGGAAAAACCAATGTCCACGAAGCAAGCAAGCCCAGTCTTTAAGACTCGAGACAAACATAAAATGATGAACTGCAGTCGACCCACTCTCTAGATATTAATGGGTCATCGATCCCTTCATCGGGACTCCACGTCGACGGGTTCTCCCAGCAAGTAGTGCCTCCAGAACTGTTTTGTTTTGCAGCAACAGGAACTCCCTCAGAACAGTGTCTCAAAACTGCCTTATTTGTCCTCATTCATGATGAACATGTGGCTTCACTTTGCAGGCATTCTCTCATCTAAGCATGTAAAGACGCCTTGTATCACCCTGCCCACTGTCCGCGATGGCCTCACTGGGGTGCAGTTTCAGAACGAAAAATTATCAAGTGAAAGAGCGATATCCGATTCCAGCACAGAAGCGGGTTTCCTATTCAGTTTTTCGGCAGTCTGGCGTAACTCTTTACATTTCCTGAATTCGAAAACAGGCTCATTACACAACTATACACAACTAGCAGTGTGTCCCCTTCCCCAAACATACGCTTTAGTAGTGTCCTATTGAGCTGCGGTGGTTCAAGTGGTTAAGACGCTGAACTGCAGGCTGTGGAAGGTCAGTAGTTCAGCAGTTCGAGACCCGGGTGCCGCATGACGGAGTGAGCTCCCATCTCTAGTTCCAGCTCCTGCCAACCTAGCCGTTCGAAAGCAAGAAATTGCAAGTCGATAAATAGGTACCACTTCGGTGGGAAGGGAACAGCGTTCCGTGCGCCTCGGTGTTTAGTCATGCCGGCCACATGACCACGGAAACGTCTTCGGACAGCGCTGGCTCTTCGGCTTGGAAACGGAGATGAGCACCGCAACCCTAGAGTCGAATTCGACTGGCTTTCGAGCAAAGGAACCTGTACCTTTACCCAGGGGTCGTTTTGTAGAAAAAGAGCTAGGGGAACTCATTAGCATAACTCATTAGCATATGCAACACCCCCTGACATCAGGGGCCCGGTGGGGGACCTGCAAGGCCTGCGGGAGTGCGAGGAAGCCCCGCCAAGGCCCTCCCTGGCCCCAGGCAGGCAGGGGTGGGGAGAGGTGGGGAGGAAGCAACTTACCCTCCCTCTTCTCCTGCCTCCTCCTGGCTGAATGAGGGCCGAAAGCAGGGGGCGGGGCTTCATCATGTGCCCCGCCCCCTGCACCTCACCCGGGGGAACTGCGTTCCCCCACGATCCCCCCCGAAATGACCTCTGCCTTTACCTATTAAAAGTTATTGACATGCGTCGTCCTGCTCCATCCAGTTCTCTTTCTAGCTGAGTCAGGTTTGGTGCTCAGGATTGTTTTGGATGTAAACCTTCCTTGTGTTGCTCGTAACAAAACCACTGATAGAGAAGAGCAAGAAGGTCACAGTCCACAGTACAGTAAAGCAAAACACAAAAAGGAAACTGTGCAAAAATTGCTGCAGTTAATATCACAAAAGTCTATATTTCCATGTAATGCCGAAAGCCCATTTGTTTTTTCAGACATACAATCAGAGAAGCCTTCACAAGGTAATGATGGCGAAACTCTCCGGATTAACAATTTCCGTTTCTTAGAGCCTTCATGGCATGGATTAGAAGCTGTATGTTTTGAGAATGGAAGGATTGCTCTTTGAAAAATAAGGAATGACATCTTTGTGTTGCTGATCTTTGATGAAGGCTGTATGAAACAGAAATTGTTAATCTGGAGAGTTTCGCCATCATTAACTTGTGAAGGCTTCTTTGATTGTATGTCTGAAAAAACAAATGGACTTTCGGCATTACGTGGAAATATAGACTTTTGTGATATCAACTGCAGCAATTTTCCCACAGTTTCCTTTTTGTGTCTTGCTTTACTGTAAGAAAACCACTGGCACATGTCCTGCCCTGAGATGGGACTGGCTCTCCCTAACGATGCCCGTGTAGCCAGTGCCCTTTTTAGAACAAATGTCATGATCATGTTTTTCAAGTTGTGTTTTGGGGTTCTGTAACGACTGTTTTGACTCTGTTTGTGTGGTTGCAGCGAGCTTGATGTTCCCGATAGGCGCGTCCCATCCTGTCCAAGGACAGAGTGATGCCGTTTCAAGGCTGAAATTCTTCCCAGGCCGTTTTGCGTGTGATGTCTGAGGTGCAGAGCGAGTGACAAGACATATGTGCAAATTGTGTGCAGATCTGAAGATAGCTTATTGGACTGCCAGTCTTTGGAGAAACTAATTTGATCTCATACAAATCATGCCACAAATCAAGGGCATATAACTGAAAATCTCAGTAAGAGGAATCTTATCTGAGCCTCCACTGACGCCTGCAGATTACCTTGTTCGAATATTGGGTGCAGAGTAAATTCCAAAAGGCTCATCATGTTGGGGGAATTCAGTGTTCCCTCTAAGCCGAGTTAGTGTGAGCTAGCTCACAGTTCTTTAGCCTCCGGCTCACACGTTCTTGTCTCCGCTCGGGAAGGGATGGCTCCAGAGCATACTAATTGATGCAGCAGCCAAACCGCTCGCTCACAACTTTAATGCCAGTCGCGCACAAAGTAGAATCTTTGCTCACAAGACTCCATAACTTAGACGGAGCATCGGTTGGGGTCATTCTTAAATTTGAAAAATGGCAGCCTGCACAAACATAGAAACACAGAGCTGAAAGAGACTTCTGTGGTCATCTAGTCCAACCCCCTGTGCCATGCAGGAAATTCCCAGCTATCCCCTCTGCTCCCCCAGGGATCCCTGCTGTATGCCTAGAGGAAGGCAAAAAGCCTCCGGGATCTCTGGGCTAATCTGACCTGGAGGAAGATGCCTTCCTGACCCCAAAGTGGGCAATTGGCATTACCTGGGGCATATAAGAAAGGGCGACAAGAGTCAAGCGCTGGCTCATCCCTTCCTGCCCTCCCTCTCGTGATGACAAAGGATCTTTTTTTAAAAAACTTTTTAATGACCTTTTAAAAAAAAAACTTTGCCATTGTTTTGTGTGAGTGATAGAAAACTTGGGTATGACCAGGGGTCATTTCCTGCCGGAGCACACAAGAGCGGAGCTCCGGCAGTAAAGAGCTCAGGGGGCGGGCACATGCAATAAGCCCCACCTCCTGCTCCCAGCAGCCCTCGGTCAGAGCAAGAAGCAGCCAGGTAAGTTGCAGAGCTTCCCCCGCCCCGCCTCCCCGGTCCAAAACAGTCCAGTGGCCATTTTAACAGTCCAGTGGCACCTTTAAGACCAAGTTTTAATCAGGGACAAGCTCTCCCTCCTCTGCGAGGGCAGATCTGCATGTTCCCCCCCCCCCGATAGCTAGCAATTCAAAACAGTCCAGTGGAGCCTGAGCAGTGGGTGTTGCCTTCTGACACACTTCCAGTGATCTCAGGGGGCATGACATATGCAAATAAGTTATGCTAATGAGCTTCTACACCTCTTTTTCTACGAAATGACCCCTGGGTATGACTGAATGAGTGCCATGTGTCTGGGGACAAGGACCCAGTTCGCACAAACTGGAAGCCAACTGGAAGTGTGCTTCTGGACTAGGACTATGCCATTCCAAGCTGCGAGTGGGGCCGAGTGCTGGAGCATGAGCCCAGTTCCCTGCCCGTGGAAAGAAGGGAGAGAGAGGGTTTTTTTGCCTGGCCTTTTCTCTGACATGCCCGTCTTCTGTGTGCAGAGAGGTATCGTCGTTTTAATGTCGACACGTTCCCCCCTGCTCCTTGCCTGCGTGTCTGAAGTGGTATAGTCTAGAACAGGGGTCCCCCAACGTGGTACCCACAGCTGACACTTTTCCTGCCTGGCGACCACCAAGTGTTTTTAGAAAGTGGGCAGGGCCATGTGGGGCTTTTGCCCAGCAAGGGTTCTGATTGGCTGTCGGAGATTTGATTGGCTGTGCAGATTTTCTGAAATGTTGCTAGGCAGCAGCTGCCCACCACAGCACAAGAATCTTCACTGTGTGACTGAAGGCAGGCTGTGGCAGCCATTCTGTGGCAGCCGTTTTGTGG